TGCCTGGACCAGGGAGACACGGAGCAGCTTTTCTCGCCCCAGAGGATGCGGGTGGCAGGACCCCGGCACATCTGGGCGTCCCACTGCTCCAGTCCTCCGGAGCGAGAAAAACCCCGTTCGTATGTAGGGATCCGACGTAAGTCGGATCCACGTAACTCGGGGACTGCCTGTACAACCAAACCCCCTGCCTTTGCTTTAAGTTAGGATAAGAGGACGCTGCATACCAAATTTGGTGGTCCCAGCTCACACATGGACAGACAACTATATCTTTCTATATATATGTAAACCAGTGTTCCCGCTAATCTTTTCCATCTGTGTGTAGATCAATTCCATCCATGTGCAGAATAATTTTATGTGACCAAAGCATGTGCAAATGTGTACCACCAGTAGAAATAAAAAACCTAGCTGTGGATACTCTGGTGGGGAGCATTTGAAGCTCTCCTGAGGGGCTGCCCAAGTGCATAGCTTACAGGGAACACAGATGTAAACACATACATATACAATCGTACTAACATGGCTTGAAATTATTATGACAAAACTTTTTTATATGGAAAATTCAGTTTTTCATTACATGAGGAATATTTTGGGGAAAATGTCATCTTCCATGATGCATCAACTCACCCTGCCAAGAGGGAAGACCATAGGAGATACAGTCCAATCAGAGAACCCAGCCTATTGTGGCATAAGTAAGTTTTAAGCATTCACATTGAGGCCCTGTGGTAATATTTCAGAACTGAAATATTCTGCATTTAACTAAAATATTTTAATTTTTTTTAATTTCACCCCCCCCCCTAAAATCTATGTTTTCAAGAGAAAACACATCAATTTTCCAACTAGCTCTAGTCCACACATATAAGGTACTCTATCGATGTCCAACCCACGTACCAACTATATGCTACAAGGTTTAGATCCTTTCTTAATGACTGTAGAAGCTATTCAGTATGAATGTGAAGAGCTGGGATATGTAAGGAGAGGAATGGTATGCAGGCATTGCAACAAGGCTGGTGATGAGTCATCATGGATTGACTAGGTTGATATGTGTATATATCACTACCCTCTCCTGGATAAAACTAGAAATCTGTGTGTTATAGTTCCTGCACTGCTAACAGCCAATGGCGTTTTTTGTTTCACTCAAACGACTTAGGGATTGTGTGATTTTTGGATCAGAAAGAGCTGTGTTGCTTCTCTGAAGTTCCAAGTGGTCACAGTGGGTAGAATAGCTCCACTGTGAAGTTCCTAAAAGTAGCCACCAATGTTTTGGTTCTGCTGATCTTTGCTCTACATTCTGGAATATAATTGAAAGTTTTGCTTCTCACTGTATTCTCACAAAATCATTGTCTGTGGGTGAAAGTGCTAGGCACAAGAAAATGATATGTTCTCCTGAGCAGTGTCCTAAGGCACTTTCATCTCACTGTGTAACTAGTAAACTGGTCTCTATTCCAGTGTCCTCAGAGAGCTATGTGATGGTCTTTAATGCATGGAAAAAATAACATGCATTGTCTCTGTCACTCCACTGAAAAGGATACTACCTGCAGACAAGTTTTGCACTGTTATGTCATATGGCATAGTAAATGATTTGGGCCGGGTTATCCAATTTCTTGCTTTTCCTGCAGGGCCAAATTTTTATCAGCTTGTAAAGATGTCTGCTGGCTGTGAAAGAAGTTTAGGCAATGTTTAAATACTTACATATATAACTTTGTAGGACATACTCATGAGATAAATTACAGTCAGAATCTGCATATGACGTATTAATGGAGCAGTAAAATACCTACTGTTTGATCAGTAAGCCATCCATGTAGCTCCTTAAATTGGTTTCATTAATATCTTCTCTGAATGTCATGCTGTATCTCCTAATGACTACACGCACCTCTTCTGTTTTTCTGAATATCATGTTGTGGAGTTTGAAAAGAAATCAAAGGAATGGCAGAAATTAAATACCCTAAAAACTAAACAAGATCAAAGCAGAAATTAGATGTGCCAATTATAATGCAAAACCGAAGTGTTCTGATAGAGAAGCCATCCACATGGCAATCAAAATGACACGTTACTGAAGTTTGTCCTTTTGGTAACTCAAACTTTCCATGTATAAATGTCTCCTCTTATTAAAGGATCCCTAGAGAAATGGAGCCCATCAGATTCGTCTAGACATAGACTATAAACATTAATTAAAAAATACAATTAAGGGAATGTGACAGAGAAACCAGTGAAACAATGAAATTACATTTTAAGAGAGATAATAAAACAAAATGACATAGCATCATACTTAGAGGGAAACCCCCACCAAAAAATTTTAAGAGCCAAATGTTATGTTTTAAAGTTGTTATATCATCTTTTTTAACTTTCACATGAATTATAAATCAATTACACTCAATTACCCGGCAACATTAAATTTCAAATCACAATAAACAGTTTCATTTTATATCATCCCACTACCATATGATCATAAACCAGGCTCCAAATAAAAATCACAAATCTCATGAGCTACCTTTTGCTAACTGGTTATAATTTTTGCTGTTTGCAGCAGAATCCAAGCCTGCAGTAAACAAAAAACAAATCCAATGAAAATGAAAGTTTCTAATCTTTTTTGCTGCTATAAACTTTCATACACAGAATAAATGAAGAAGCACTAATGCAGCATCATAACAGCCATTTAAAAGACTGCATACTAACATAATAAAGATATGAACTGTTTCCTCTAGTCTTCATAAGAAAGTGTTAAACTTAACATTAGCTGCTTGACGATGGTTGAAAGTTTAGTTCGATCCGGATGGGACATACTTTTTCGGCTATTAAGTTACAAGCGATGGAAACTCTAGCACGGAGAGCTCTGGAGTCCCAATAACAGTTAAACTTTTGACAAACTGTTCTTGTAACTAGATTCAGAAAATCAGTTATTTTGAGGCACTTGCGCAATATTCAGCAGCAAGCTCTTCCTATTTAGAAACGAGTTGATTATTCAACAGTTTTACTATTTTTTTTTTTAAGAAGAAACCCTAATCATTGATCGGGGCCTGTCTCATGTCTCTCACACTGTAATGTCTCTTGCCCACTGCTTAGTGCATAGCGAATAAGATCAGTGATACTAATAAAAAAGGAAAGATTGGCAGAATCCCAGCCAAGTCTCCCACCCAAGTATTATGCTAACGTTTGGGAAAGAAGGAGCACAATTCAAGATCCCAGTCCTGCAATCAGATCTGTGTTTGTGGATTCTGTTCACTTTGGGCACGTCTACACAGCAGGGCAAAATTCGAATTAAGCTACACAACTTTAGCTACTATATAGACGCGCTCTTTGTTACTTTGGAATAACATCAGTTATTCCAAAATATGCTGTGTAGACATAGCCTTTGAGAAAAGAAGGAATCAGCCTTTGTTTTTTTTTTCCAGATTAGATACATGTGGGCCCTAATCCTGAATCAGTGTGCGGATTCCACTGACATATAGAGCAGAGTCCCTTGAACCTTCCAGGAATTCCACTGAAGTGTGTGGAACCCACCCCTTTAATCCATAGGCAGGACTGAGGCCTAAGTTCTCTTGGAGCATTAGCCTGAAAAGTAACTAAGCACTTAACATTTAGATTAAGGCTGATTCCATCTGTAGCGCCCCCTCTCCACCTGGTTACCTTCTTTAATGCCAATCTGCTTACAGGTTTCGATGGATAGGTCTGGGTTCTTCTGGATCCTGCCACCAATTCAACTTAATTTTTTCCTATGGATTTATTTGGCGGTGCCTCCACCCCCCTCACTCCTTCCTGGCAGGGTCACCAGGGCACTTTGGGAGGAAAATTCTAACCCAGGGTAATCCCCACGTATTTGGCAGATAGTTGGAGGCTCCCAGAAAATAACACAAACACATACACTATATTAAACACAATTATATTAAACAGGAGACAAATATAACATAACAAGGTAAAAGTCTATTTTTAGGTTCACGGGTGCCCAGCAACTGTAAGGTTAGTGTCCCGTTGGTATGCGTACTTTGTTGGGGCCCTTGATGAGGGAAGGGATATCTCAGTGGTTTGAGCATTGGCCTGCTAAACCCAGGCTTGTGAGCTCAGTCCTTGAGGGGGGCCATTTAGGGATCTGTGCCAAATCTGTCAGGGATGGTACTTGGTCCTGCTATGAGGGCAGGGGACTGGACTCAATGACCTCTCAAGGTCCCTTCCAGTTCTATGAGGTGGTATATCTCCATATATTTATTTATTATGACTTATGACCACAAAATTCTTCTCTGCAGTGGTTTAGCAGTGGGGATGACTGGGTCCAGTACAGCCCAAAGGACTCAGGAGTGGGAGAAGGTGGTAAATCCCTCCTCAGGGTTAATATGCAGCAGGTTATAAAATTCCCAAACAAATTCCCTGACTAACTAAAAGATGGTGCACTCACACGCTCCATGAATGAGCCTCAGGTTCAGAGATGACTCAGTCACTGCAGAGGGGCTGGTCTCTACTGGCAGGGATCCTCTTCAGGCAGGAGGAATCAGGCTGCTTTGATCCCAGAATTTCCCCTCACCACAAAGGGCTGCAAGGCTCAAGGTGCAGGTTACACCACTGCACTAAAACTCAAACTGTAATCTCCTACCCCGGCATTTAGACACACACACAGCAGGCAGCAGCCCTGAACTAGCAGGCAGAGCAGAGCTGACCATGTGGTGACTGGTCTCACCTAGGGAGCTGGAGAGCTAACTCAGCCTGGCTGGGGAAGTTTCCCAGCAAACTCCACAAACTGGGAATCAACAGTGGAGAAATTAAACCCAGCTGAGGGATCTTGCTTTCAGGTCCTTAGAGGCTAGTTCTCAGGGGGACACCCTGCATGCAGGCTTGGGGCTTACTAGCTCCCACACAGACAGCCCTCCCCTTGCCCTGGCAGGCTCCACACTCCTCCAACAATGGCTTCTCTTCCTGGGAGGGGCATCTCACTCCCTATGGGTTGCCAGGCAGACTCTGTCTCTGGTAGGGAGGGGGAGCCAAGGCAAACTCAGTGTGCCTGTCCCTGAGCTGCCAGCAGACAGACCCCCAGGAATCTAGGTAATCTCCTTGGGGGTTACACATCTCTCTACTGAAGAGACCATGTCAGCCTCAGGGCCGGACTGAGGCATGGGTGAGCTGGGCAGCTGCCCGGGGCACTAACCGATGGGGGGGGGCGCCTGATGGCAGCTGTAAGGGGCATGCTGCGTCCCTTATAGTTGCCATGAGGCGCCACGTGCCCGGCTCCCACAGCACCGGCCCAGCAGCACCTTCCCCGTGATGGCCGTGGGGCCCTGCATGCATCAGCAGCGGTGACCAGGCTGGGCTGGGCAGCGCATGTGCCGTGTGCCCCAGGGACAGGTCCCAGGCTGTGCACCAGCAGCCAAGGCCGGGCTGCGCATGCACCATGCACGCTAGGGGCGGGCTCACGTACCCTGGTGCACCTTGGGGGGAGGCCCGTGCACCCAGGAGCGGTGCTGCGTGCCTGGGCCTAGGGCTTCAAAAGGGCTCGGGCCGGCCCTGGTCAGTCTCACACAGTTACTGCTACCACATGATGCCGTCGGTCTACTATAAGATTTTGCAGCTAGCTAGCAAAAGTACAGGTTGAACCTCTCTAGCCCAGCACTTTCTGATCCAGCAACATCCATGGTATGGCATGATTTTAGTGAGCTGAATGTCCATTTATCATGGGTGTGGCCAAGTTTCACGCAGTCCCATAAAATTTGTTTACAGCCACCAGTCCTGGCGCTCAGTGCTCTGTGCTGTTATTTAGCTCTAATTTACCCCTAAATGTCTTCTAAGAGGCTAGTAAGCAGTGGAAGTGTTGGTAATGCTGCTAGACAATATTGACATCCCGTGGTTCAGCAAATTCTCTGGTTTGGCACTGGACAGGGCCCAAGGATGCTGGACTAGAGAGGGTAAATCTTTACATGCATTTGCATTTTAGGAATGAGTAACAAACAAAACAAACCAGACAACCTTATGTTAACTTCAGATTCAACATCTACATGGATCACCAAAAATCCATGAGTGTTCAAAGTCCACTTAACCCACAATGCAGACAAGACATTAGAAGCATTATTAACTGATGAAAAATATGTTTCAGAGGGAAGCCATGTTAGTCTGTTTCAGCAAAAACAATGAGGAGTACTGTGGCACCTTAAAGACTAACACATTTGGGGATAAGCTTTTGTGGGCTATCAGATGCAAGAAATGAAAAATATGGAGCTCCAAGAAGGATCATAAACATCATCTCTGAGTCTTTATAGAGTGAAATGTGTTGAATCTTTATAATTGAACCTAATCCCATGCAGATGATGTTGGTGGGAGCATTGTTAAATTATCTTAATTTAAAGGATTCAACTAAAACAAGCAAAAATATAAACATACTCATCATCCAACAGCTAGACAACACCATAGTCTGTACTGCAGTGCTGTAAATCAACACAAAACTATGGTGACTGGCAATAAAACAGAGTGTTGTGAGTGAGGGCAATTAACCATTAGAACAATTTACCAAGTATCATGGTGGAGTCTCTATTCCTGACCATTTTTAAATCAAGTTTGGATGTTTCTTCTCAAAGCTCGTCTGTAGGAATGACCTTGGGGAAGCTCTGTGGATGGTGGTAAACAGAAGATAAGATTAGATGATCACAGTGGCCCCTTCAGGCTTTGGAATGTATGAATCTTTGGGACATTTAATCAACAAATTCCCATCTCACCTTTGAAAATTTAGGCATTGCACTAAGAAAATGAAACTCTTCGAGAAATCTTCCTTCTGCCATTTTTTTACCTATTTCGAGATCCTGTATGTTTGATATGGTGAATCTACATCCTTCTCCCTAGGAGAAAAGACTATACCTCCAGTAGAGATCCATGTAATACTCTTAGCAGGACGTCTACAATAATATTTAGAACACAATGCAATTAGCTGGAATGTTTTACACAAGAAACTCCTCACAGAAACATCTTTGGGAAATAAGATGAGAGTTATAAAGAGGAATTGTACTAGTGTTTTAGGTGCTGGTAGCCTGCCTATAGTATGTTAAGATTGACACCTCACACTTTTCATTACAAGGCCCTCTTTGCAGTTGCTCATCACTTTGCCAAACTAATATTTCAGGCTGAAGATTCCTTGCTGCTCACTGCTTCAGGCAGATTTTTTCTCGGCAAGTTTCAGATTCGACAGTCCAGATGTTTCAGAGAATGAGATAAGGGGGAAATATGTTGTTTTGTCACATTAAAAAAAATCTTACAGCTGTTTAACTGAGGAATTCTAGCACCTCCATGCTTTAGAACACAGACTTGACTTTTGACATGGCCCCCAATTTGGCCTACTCCAACCCACTACAGCCTCTGCACATGACAGAACTGTGCACAAGAGCAAGGCTGACCATATTTCCCAAAGAGAAAATGGGAGTCCCCCAGCCACTTACTATAGGGCCTGCTCCTCCCGTGTTGTTGCTGGAACCCTGCCCTCCTTACCCAGGCTCTTGTCCATCCCTGGACCCTATCCCCCTATGGTGGGGAGGCGACAGCTTCCAGGAGCAGGTAACAGCCCCCCTGTAGCTGTTTGAAATACACACAGATAAATACTATTCTGCAGTGCAGTCAGTTCTCATGATTTCATTGTGAGCATTGCAATATTTTGTGTTTTTCTTAAAGCCCCCCAGCCCACATGAGAGTCTCAGCTTTATTCGTTCTTTCAGAAGTATGTCTCTAGCCCTCATGAGTGCGGAGATAAAGCTTGAAAACATGACTTGAGTGCATCAAACCCGAAAGGCAACTCCAACAAAGAGCGCCAACATTTATTATTAAAAAAATACATTTAAGCCAGTATCATGATTTTGTGGGGGCCTGACTGATGATTTTTAAATGTTTGGGGGCTACTGCAATTCAGACATTTATTAGGAACAAGTTTAGCAAAATTTCAACTCCCTTTCAAACATCCAGTACTATTTGCATGCTGCATGAGACAGAACATCAGTGTAAGTGACCTGTCTGCAAATTCATTGGCAGTGCTCACGAGTGGGTTTTTTTTTCCTATTTTTACTGCCTCAGAGCCTGTCGGCACAACGGCTTTCTGTAGCCCAGACTGGAGTGAGAACATTGGGCCATATTCTTCTGAAAGTTGGAAGTTTGGAAACTTTGAATTTCAACAACAAAGTAGCACATTTACCCATGTGGGGGTCTGGTGCAGAGTAGGGATGTAACAGTATAGTCGATTAACTGATTAACCAATAAGCAAAAGCTTATAGGTTAATGTTATAGACTACATGCATTTCCTTCCCTGGCCTGCCAGTAAATTTTTT